CCCAGCCCCACCCCGGGCGCCCCGTCCCCGTCGCACCACGGCAGCGGGGGCGGGGGCATCGGCTCCTCCCAGGCCCCGGCCCTGCGCTACTTCCAGCTGCCCCCCCGGGCGGCCAGCGCGGCCATGTACGTGCCAGCCCGCTCGGGCCGCGGGCGCAAGGGGCCCCTGGTCAAGCAGACCAAAGTCGAAGGCGAGCCGCAGAAGGGCGGCGGCCTCCCGCCCGCCCCGTCGCCCACGTCTCCGGCGTCGCCGCAGCCGCCGCCGGCCGCCCCGTCGGAGAAGAACTCCATCCCCATCCCCACCATCATCATCAAGGCCCCGTCCACCAGTAGCAGCGGCCGCAGCAGCCAGGGCAGCAGCACCGAGGCGGAGCCCCCCACTCAGCCCGAGGCTGCGGCCGGCGGCGGCGGCCCCTCGGCGCCGAGCCCCGCCCCGGCCATGTCCCCGGTGCCGCCGTCGCCCTCGCCCGTGCCCACCCCCACCCCCACCTCGCCCAGCGGCCCGGCCACCCTGGATTTCACCAGCCAGTTCGGAGCGGCCCTGGTGGGGGCGGCCCGGAGGGAAGGGGGCTGGCAGAACGAAGCCCGCCGGCGGTCCACGCTCTTCCTCTCCACCGACGCGGGGGACGAGGATGGCGGCGACAGCGGGCTGGGCCCAGGGGCGCCCCCGGGGCCCCGGCTGCGCCACTCGAAATCCATCGACGAAGGCATGTTCTCCGCCGAGCCCTACCTGCGGCTGGAGTCTGCGGGCGCGGAGAGCGGCGGCGGCTACGGGGCTTACGCGGCCGGCAGCCGCGCCTACGCGGGCAGCGGGGCCAGCAGCGCCTTCACCAGCTTCCTGCCGCCCCGACCCCTGGTCCACCCGCTGACCGGCAAGGCCCTGGACCCCGCCTCCCCGCTCGGGCTGGCCCTGGCCGCCCGAGAGCGGGCGCTGAAGGAGTCCTCGGAGGGTGGTGGGCCCCCCCAGCCCCCTCCAAGGCCCCCATCGCCCCGCTATGAGGCCCCGCCGCCCACCCCACACCACCACTCGCCCCACGCCCACCATGAGCCAGTGCTGCGTCTCTGGGGGGCCTCACCACCGGACCCCGCCCGCCGGGAGCTGGGGTACCGGGCAGGGCTGGGCAGCCAGGAGAAGTCCCTTCCGGCCAGCCCTCCAGCTGCCCGACGCTCCTTGCTGCACCGCTTGCCCCCCACAGCTCCCGGGGTCGGGCCCCTCCTCCTGCAGCTGGGGCCAGAGCCCCCGCCCCCGCACCCCGGGGTGAGCAAGGCGTGGAGGTCGGGGGCCCCCGAGGAGCCCGAACGGCTGCCCCTACACGTGCGGTTCCTTGAGAACTGCCAGCCCAGAGCCAGTGGGGCGGGGGGAAGGGGACCCCCCTCGGAAGACGGGCCGGGGGTTCCGCCGCCCAGCCCACGCCGGTCCGTACCGCCCTCGCCGACCTCCCCGCGGGGCAGTGAAGAGAATGGGCTTCCCCTGCTAGTCCTGCCGCCCCCTGCTCCCTCGGTGGATGTGGAAGACGGGGAATTCCTCTTCGTGGAACCGCTGCCCCCGCCCCTGGAGTTCTCCAACAGCTTCGAGAAGCCAGAGTCGCCCCTCACACCTGGGCCTCCCCACCCGCTGCCGGACCCACCCACCCCAACCACCCCCTTGCCCCCCGGGCCACCACCTGCTATTGCTGCCGCACCTCCCACCCTGGACTCCACGGCATCCAGCCTGACTTCCTATGACAGTGAGGTGGCCACACTGACCCAGGGGGCCCCCGTGGCTCCTGGGGACCCCCCTCCGCCAGGCCCACCGGCCCCGGCGGCCCCTGCTGCGCCGGCCCCACAGCCTGGCCCAGACCCACCGCCGGGCACAGATTCCGGTATCGAGGAGGTGGACAGCCGGAGCAGCAGCGACCACCCTCTGGAGACCATCAGCAGCGCATCCACACTGAGCAGCCTCTCTGCCGAAGGCGGTGGCGGCGGCGGGGGCGGGGGCGCCAGCGTGGCCAGTGGGCCAGAGCTTCTGGACACGTACGTGGCCTACCTGGACGGCCAGGCCTTCGGGGGGAGTGGGACTCCCGGCCCACCCTATCCTCCACAGCTCATGACTCCTTCTAAGCTCCGGGGCCGGGCTCTGGGGGCCAGCGGAGGACTGAGGCCCGGCCCTAGTGGGGGACTCCGGGACCCTGTCACTCCCACCAGCCCCACCGTCTCGGTGACAGGGGCTGGAACGGATGGGCTGCTGGCCCTGAGTGGTTGCACGGGACCCTCAGCGGCGGCTATGGCCGGGGGTCCGGTGGCTCTCGAGCCGGAAGGCCCTCCAGTGCCCTTGCCATCGGCCTCCTCTCTGCCTCGGAAGCTGCTGCCCTGGGAGGAGGGCCCGGGCCCCCCGCCACCACCCCTGCCCGGGCCCCTGGCCCAGCCTCAGGCCTCAGCCTTGGCCACAGTAAAAGCCAGCATCATCAGTGAACTCAGCTCCAAGCTTCAGCAATTTGGGGGCTCCTCGGCAGCTGGTGGCGCTCTGCCCTGGGCCCGGGGAGGCAGCGGGGGAAGCGGGGACAGCCACCACGGGGGAGCCAGCTACGTCCCTGAGAGGACCGCTTCCCTGCAGCGGCAGAGGTGAGCCGGGGCTGATGGTTGGTGATGGAGGCCACAGGGGCCAATGCTGTGGGTACCAGAGCCTACCTTCCCCATAGCTGCGTCCTTTGAGGGTCCCAGGTGGCAGAAAGAAAGCAGAAACGAGGCTGGCTTGCAGAAGTCCGTCCTCAGGGAAGCATGCTTTCACAGATAGTTTATCTCAGTAGCTTTTGTGCTCTCTTCCCATCACCATGACAACCCACATCCCATGATGAACCAAAAAAATATTGACAAAAGAGATTGGAGCACAACTTGCCGATGTCTGTTTCCTTGGTGGGCTGTCAGTTCTGACAGTCCCTGAAATCTGTGAGTCCCTTGAACCCGGTGTGGCTCAAGATTAAGATGCTTTAGGGCGCAGTGGTTTGGAGTGTGGGTCTGGAGCCGGGCTTCTTGGGCTTTGGGTCTCAGCCCTGGACTTCTAACTGGGTGACCTTAGGCAGAGGAATCCACCTCTCTGTAGAAGGGGGACAGCGTTAGACCCACCTAAAGGGTTTTTGAGAGGATTAAATATGGGCCATTGTTGTAGCACAAGTTGGGGGAGAGGAGGGGCCTCTTACCAAAGCCCAGGAAGTATGGATGGGAAAATATGGGATAGTGGAGAAGTTTCCTAAAGCAGCTAGCTTAGCCAGGATCGCCACAGAGTTCGAGCTCGTTCAAGCCCTTCTAGTCTTAGGGAAAGTAGAGTCACATTCCTGATTCAGGCACACGGAGAGAGTGAGGAGAGGTTTCTTAATCCCCCTGCCCTTGTCCTTCTGCAGAGTTCACTCTAACTCTGAGGGTCTGATGGCCTTACGGTGATATTATTTGAATGTGGTTTCATCGGGCCTTTGAGATCTTAAGGCGACCGTCTGATTATTTTTAAGTATTCTGGGTGAAGGAGAGGATGCTTAATGTAGGCGACAGGTGCACCAGCTATTGATTTACCACCTGCTGTGCTCTGGGTGCCCTTCTAGGTGACAGGGACCCCATGGGGGACAGGACAAGCAAAGCCCTGCCCTCACGGAGCTCATAGTCTAATGAGGCAGGGATGGGGGATGGTTAGAGATGGCCTCTCAAATAACCAGCAAGATGAGCAGAAACCGGAGGAAGGGAGAGAGCAGATCCCGTGGCTACCTGGGGGAAGTGAGCTAGGCCAAGGGAACAGCCAGTTCAAAGGCCCTGAGGCAGGACTGTTCTGAAGGGCGCTAAAGGGATGAGGGGAACCTTTTTCTCCCCTTGTTTCTTCTCTCTTTCATCTCCCTCTCCTCATCTCTCTCCCTCTCTCTCTCTCTCTCTCTGTCCCCTGTCCCCTTCCATCTCTCTCCCCTGAACGCTCACCCTCTTTTTGTTCCTCTTTCACCGTCTCCCTGTCTTCCACTCTGCTGTGACTGGCCATAACCCGATAGGCAGTATAGAGTAGTGGTTAAGAGCTCAGACTTTGGTGCCATATAACTGGGCTCTGCCACTTCCTGGCTGTGTGTCCTTAGGCAAGTTACTTAACCTCTCTGTGCTGCTGATAATAATAGTAACCTGCATCAGGGCTGTCATGGGGAATACACTGAGATGCGATATGTAAAGCACTTAGAACAATGCCTGGCACACGTGAGCATCAGTAAGTGGTGGCGATTATTATTATTATCACTTAATGTCTCTTTTTCTTTCATCTCTCTTGACTGTCACCCTCTCCCTGTCCTCTCGTTCTTCTCTCCCTTCATTTCTGTCCTGACATCTGTCTTACCCCCTTGCTCCTTCTATCTCTTCCCATCTTTCTTCTCCACCTCTCTACCCCTGCTCCTGTCTCTCTTCTCTCCCTACGTCTCGACCTCTGCCTCTTTCTCACCCCACCATTGCCCTCCAAACCCCCTTCCTCCACCCCTGCCCCTTTGTCACCTTCCAGACTCTCTGAAGACTCCCAGTCCTCGCTCCTCTCCAAACCCGTCAGCAGCCTGTTTCAGAACTGGCCCAAACCACCTCTGCCACCACTCCCCACAGGAAGCGGGGTCCCCCCTTCAGCAGCTGCAGCTCCAGGGGCCACCTCACCCTCAGCCTCCTCCTCCACGTCTACCCGCCACCTCCAGGGTGTGGAGTTCGAGATGCGGCCGCCTCTGCTCCGCCGGGCCCCCAGCCCCTCACTGCTGCCCGCCTCAGAGCACAAGGTCAGCCCTGCGCCCAGGCCCTCGTCCCTGCCCATCCTGCCTTCTGGACCCCTGTATCCGGGCCTCTTTGACATCCGCAGCTCCCCAACTGGAGGGGCAGGAGGCTCAGCTGACCCTTTCGCCCCTGTCTTTGTGCCACCACACCCCGGGATTTCCGGGGGGCTTGGTGGAGCCTTGTCAGGGGCCTCCCGCTCCCTCTCACCAACCCGCCTGCTTTCGCTGCCCCCGGACAAGCCCTTCGGCGCTAAACCTCTGGGGTTCTGGACCAAGTTCGACGTGGCTGATTGGCTGGAGTGGCTGGGCTTGGCTGAGCACCGAGCACAGTTCCTGGACCACGAGATTGATGGCTCCCATCTGCCCGCCCTGACCAAGGAGGATTACGTCGATCTGGGTGTGACCAGGGTGGGCCACCGCATGAACATCGACCGGGCTCTCAAATTTTTCCTGGAGAGGTGATGGCTGGCCTGGACGGACCAGCCCGTCCACAGAACCCTTGAGCCTACTGGCCTCTTGACCTCTGACCCCTGACCGTCATTCTCTCCCCCTGGGCCAGGGACTCTGCTAGAACTGTGCCCTGCCCTCCTCTCCCAAGGCCGGAGGTCACCAGGTGGCCTGATCCTGGCCAGACATTTGCACCTCACAGGAGGGGGCAGCTGACACAAGACTGTGTGTGAAGCAGGGAACAGGGGGGAGGTGATGGAGGAGATCACAGAGGGGGATGGAGAAGGAGGGAAGGGTCGGTTCTGGGGAGGGGGAAACAGACAGAGCCATAGAGGGTCAGCCCTGAGCCTGATTGGATGGGGGTTGTCCCCGGCCGCAGGGGAAGGGGGTGCCCTCAGATTCCACCACCTGCCACCCCTCTAACAACCCTTCCCCCCCTCTCCAGGCCCCTGGGCTCTCCCTATGCACCTTCCCCTCTCCCTAGCACACACAGCAGCCACCGCCCCCACCCCCCGCCCCGGCCTCTTGCACGCTCCTTTGCACGCCTGCTTGCCTCTCCTCTCCCCGGGCTACAATTTTGCACAAATTTGCCCTCTCGCTGTCTTGCACACTCCGCCTTCGCTTCTGGCTCGTGAGGCCCTCTCAGCGCTCAGACACGCCCTGTTTCCCTAGCACACATTGCATCTCTTCTCCCACGTTCCGTACCCTTACTGTCTCAAACTCTCGCCTGTGTACTCTTCCCTTGGTACCCTCTCTTACACACCTCACTCCTGAAAATCTCTAAACCCTTGCTGCAGACACACTTGGGACACCCTTTTCCCTACCCACTCACAAACTCTGTGCGCACATACTTATTCTGTGGAACACACCTGCCTTTATTCAGCTCTTGCACACTTGCTATCCCATGCACTGCTCCTGACACGCTTGTGCCCATCGTCTTTAAGCATCTCCCCTTCTTGTTCTCGAACCCCCACGTTCTGACTCTCCCCACCTCTCCCTCTCACAGTGACACTCCCACGTCCTTCCCTGCCCCTCCCCTCCTCACGCTATCACTTCTTATCCCGCATCTTGTACACCTGCCTCCCAGGAACTGCTTCTCTCTCAAATGCTCGCTCCCTTCCTCTTTGCCAGGCCCCCACTCCTGTGCACCCTTCTTTTCCAAATTTGTGTCCTGCTTCATTCTCAACTCTTCTGTGAACTTTCTTGCACACTCAACTCTTGCACACACGTCCTCCCCAGCACTTCCGCTGCTCTTGAAGCCATGTTCCTTCTCTAACAATGTTCCTGCACACCATGGCTTTGCTGCACACTCATTCTTGAATTTCTCCTTGTTCTTGTTGGCTCCTCAGTGACTGTTTCCATCTCCCGGGGGGAACTCGACTGTCTCTCTCCTTTTGCACACTTGTCTCCTAACACACTCTTGGGCTATACTGTCGTTTCTTTTCCTAGCATCCTTATTTTTTGTGCCTGTGGAGGAACAGGTCTTGCAGACATTCTTACCCTGCCTGTTTTCTCACCTCTTGGACACTCCTTTCTCCTGTCGAGAGAAGACCCTATGCACACTCCCCTCTTGCTCACCATGCCTCCACGCTTCCTCTTCTCCCTGCTCCAGTCTGTGACCCACATCCCCCCTCCTCTCGCTCTTCCTAGCTCTTCCTGGACCATCTCTCCATCCATTTTGCACGAAGATTCCCCCACCCCCACCCCTAACCTTTCCTTCTCTCCAAGAAACACCTTCTCCCTCCAGCATGGCTGTTCCTTCCTGCACGCTTCCCCCCTCCCTTTATTCCTGGGGCTTGGGAATTTTAAGCCACCCCTTCCCCTGGGAAGCCCCCTCTCCTACTGTGGGTAAAGGGGGGAGGGCATCGCCCTCAGGTCCCCCCCATGTTCAGCTGCCAAAGAAGGGAGCTCCCCCTCCTTTCCCCAAGCCCATTCCCCCTCTGCTGCCCCCTACCCCCGGGGGGGGGGCGCTCCGTCCATAGGGGGGAGGGTGCTTGCAGCCCTCTCCCCTCACCACGTCAGGGATCTGCGGGGAACCTTGTGGGAGGGTCGTGGGAGGGGGGAGGCGTGGCAAGGAGGGGGGCAGAGGTCGCGCTGGGCCCCTACCCGCCCCCTCCCCCTTGTCGGATGCCCCCCGTCCGCAGGGGGCCTGCGCGGCGCCCGTCTATCAAGGGCTTGTTCATTCTGGATGGGTGCCGCGGGGTTGGGGAGGGTGTAGGGGGTGGGGGGGGAGGAGAGGTCGGGGTGGGAGGGGGAAGGGACTGGATGGGGGCAGCGCGGGGCGGAGAGGATAAAGCAAAAAGAGGAACAATAACAAAAGAAAATACAAAAAAAAAACAAAACCCTAGAACACATAAAAAAAAAAATCCAGAAAAAAAAAAACAAACCTGAAATAAAAGCCCGAGAATTGTCTTCCAAGGGGGGTGGGAGGAGAAAAGAGGAGGGGGGCGGATGAAGACGTCTGGTTCTCGCTGAGACAGGGATTGGCATGGGTTGAAAGCCCCGGCGCCCGGGTCTTCCCTCTCGCGAGCCTCAGTTCATCTTTCAAGGGATTGGGACCCAGGCGTCCATTTGCAGGGACTGGGGGGAGATGAGGGAGGCGGGATTATATTGTGGGGGTTCATCCCTACCCCCCATCACCTCCCTCCCCCTGACTCCCCACCAAGATTTTGCAGAGAGAAATGGCTTTTGTACCAGGTCATTCTTTATAATTAAACTCACAGTATCCACCCCTCGAGCCGGCCCCGCCTCCTTCCTGGGGAGGCAACGCCCCCTTCCCTCGGGGGTTCCGGGTGGGTCGCCCGAGCCAGCTGGGCGGTGTACAGGCGCAGCCGGGCCCCGCCCCCTAAGTGTTAGTCTTGGTCGGTCGGCTCCGCCCCCAGGGCCTCGAGCATGCGCCGCCGGACAAGGGAGCGGCGCAGGTGCAGGCGGTAATCGGCCAGCAGCAGCTCGTCGTGGCGCACCAGCGGGTGTGCGTTCCCGCGGAGGCGGATGCCGGAGCGCAGCAGACGCGAGCGAGTCTGGAAGTCCGTGACCGTGATGAGCCACCTGTGAGGGGGCGGGGCCAAGAGGACAGGGACGGGGCGGAGACCGACGGGAATCGCTGGTGGTCCCAGCCCCTCCTTTGACTGTCGGAGGGTCCCTGCCTGGTCCATGTTCGTTTACCCACTCCGGTTGCTCAACTAGTCGCTCTGTCCCTAAACCCCTCTGCAGTCCTGCCCTCTCGCTGAGGTCAACCCGTACTTCGATCCTTACGCGGGTGATTCTAGGTTTTCTCTCAGCCTGGTCCTGTCCCCTAATTGTGGTCTGTCGAGGCTCCATCTCTTCAAACCGCCGCTCCAGGGCTGGGCCCTTCAGTGTGTCTCTCAGGCCTGTCCCCTGATTTAGGTTTCTTCCGGCCTTGCCCCCAACTACACACTCCAGGCCGCTGGCCCTCCAGATCTCTCCTGGTCCCACCCCCTCAATGTGCTGGGTCCAGGCTCCGACCCCCCACACCTCGGTTTTATCTGTCCAGGTCACTCAAAGCCTATTTCCTCACTCCAGATCCCGCCTTCTCTCTGATCTCACCTGGCCCTGCCCCCTCACCGCACTCACTCTCGGCTGGAGCCCCTTCCCGGTTCACTTCACTTCGCTCTCAGCCGGGTGGTCCGGCCCTTGCACCAACCAGGTCCCTCTCCAAACCACACAGCTTTCCTTTCCCGGCCCCGCCCACTCAGCGCCTTGGCTCCGGCTCCGCCCCCCCCACCGCGCTCACTAGGCCACACCCCTCACCTCCGCCGCTCCTGGCCCCGCCTCTCGTTACCTAGTGGCCCCGACCCCGCCGCAGTCTCACCTGTCCCGGCGCCCCGCAGTCCCACAGATGACATTCATATTTTCAAAGCGGATGCTGCTCACGCGCCCGCTCTCCATGGCTCCGGGTAACTCGGCCTCCAGAGCCTCCAGCACCTCCAGGTGGGTAAGGTCCTCCTCTGGCTGGAGGAGTCAAGAGAGCGAGCCTCAGCATGTGACACTAAGGTTCAGTCCAGGTTCCCAAGTCCCCACCTTAGACCCACTTGCAGGACCGGCCAGAATCCCAGGTGGCATTTGAGAGGCAAGTTCACACTCCATCTCAGGATCCTATCGCTCTAGTCAAAGCGGGGAAAACAGGTGTCTCTGAGGTAGAAAAGCATCTACCTGTCATTCTAGGTCATTCTCCAAAAAATCACTTCTCACCAAGCCGATTTGCCAATGAACAGTTGGCTTACATGATTCACCAATTTGGCCAATTTTACCAAGCTACCAAAAACTTTTCCAGCAACCTGCACTGGATGGCAGGCTTTGAGCAGCTCTTGAAGATCCCGCAAGGCTTAAAGTTGCACACTTTTCCTTTTATGTTCCTGTTAGCATTTTAAGGAATGTTCAGTTGTAAATAATAATAATAATAAGGATCATAGGGGTTGTGACTTCTTGTCATTCAGAAACATTGACCACTAACCACATTTTCAGCATGAGATTACCATGTGGAAGGTGACATACCATGGTCATAACATATAAAATTGCTGATGAACTAGGATGAAATCATGAAATTGGTCACCTCCAGGAAGGCAAGCTGTGGATGTGTGTGGCGGGGGGAGGAGGGGGGTCCCCTGTTCAGAGCCACAAAGAAGAGGAGGGATGCGCTGGGAATTGGTTCCCGTAACAAGGACAACAATCTCTGTGTTGGGCTAAAGTCACTCAGATCAGCTGAGGAGTACCTCTGAGGCCTTCCATGTACCTGGCACATGGAAGCATCCCATTAAGGCGCTTTTAATTTACTAGCGAGAACCTAGTAGATACCACCTCTGACTGATGGTAAACATTACCAACGGATTTGTACACTGAATGACCAGTTCACAGAATCTGCCCAAAACGGGCTTTATCCTGAGTCTTTGCTATATTTGCAAACTTTACAGAATTTCATGGTAGATGAATTAACAGGACTCCCTGTGTCCTCAGTCTCCCTGCTCTCTACCGTTCAATCTCTGCCCTTCTCTACCCCTCTTTCTCCCCCTCTCTCTGCCTCTCTGGGACCAGCAGTGATCAAAGTGACGATTGGTCCTTTGACAAATTCATAATCAATTTTTAGCAACCTAGAACCTGGTGCCAAGCCCACGGCTGGTAAGCCGCAGAGCCTAGATGTAAACCTCATTTCTGAGCCGGTTCCCTTTCTAGCCTCCCACCCAAATTGTGCAGAAGCTTGGGGTCCGAGGTCACAGGGGCAGGCGCAGGAGGGCCACTCACTGAGGTCTCCATGCACAGACAGAGAGGCTGGGCAGCGGGTGGTGTGGGGAACTTCCGGATGCACGGGAGCTCTCGGTCCAGCGCCTCATATTCTGCAATGACCTGACGTAGGTACTGCTTCCTGGAGAGAGAGCGAGCGGGCAGGGCACTCCAAGGTCAGGGGTCGCCATCATCGCACTCGGGGAAGGGGGGAGCTGAAATCAGAAGTCATGGGGCCAGGGGCTACTCACGAGGATCTGACAGGCCTGCCTGGGCTCCGGGCTTGTATCTCCTCTGGGGTCTCTAGGTCCACAAGGAGGGCTCCTGGGGATGAAGAACTCAGTGTCAGCTGCCCTGAGCACTCCTCAGACATTATTCGGCCTAAATGGGCATCCTGAAGTGTTGTCCATGCCACTCCCGAATAGCTCTTATACCAGTCACTAAGCTATTGCCTCTCAGCTCCGAACAACTCCCTTCTGCACCCACTCTGTGATCCCAGGGCAGGGGACCCTACCAACCCGGGTTCTGTTCCTACAGCTGGGTTCCTGTTAGGCCCTGCCTGAAGGGGGCGCTAGAGAGAGGTTGCAAGGCCGGAGGAAGAGGAAGGGACTTGCCTCGCTTTGCTTCCTATTCCAGTCACCCCAGCCGGGCAGCAGCCTTTGAATCCAGTGTGTGGTTTTCCCAACACTCTCAGAACCAACCTCCTGATTGCAACTAGGCTGATAAAAGCTGCCAAATCTGAGGTGTTCTAGGCAACTCCTCCGACTAACGGGTCTCACGGCCAACTGCTAGTTATCCCACATAATCCATTTTCCCCCTCCTCTACAATCTTAGAGTCTGATCCAGCACACAGCATGCCGCCGGGCTAGAGATAACATCCCTTGCAGCTGTGTGTGACCGTGTGACCGAGTTCTCACCAACAGTGTTAGGGGAGTGAAGGGTGCAACTTTGGAGTCATTTGTTTAAAAGAAGATGGCTTGGGGCGCCTGGGTGGCTCAGTTGGTTAAGCGACTGCCTTCGGCTCAGGTCATGATCCTGGAGTCCCGGGATCGAGTCCCGCATCGGGCTCC